GACTAAGACACACAGGAACCAATAGCTGAGCCCCATGTTTAACCAATCAAATCAGGAACTCTGGGAGTGAGACACATGCAATAATAGTTTTTAAAGGCTATCCAGATGTATCTAAAGTGCAACTAGTGATGAGAAAGACTGATGTAGTTCTATTCCAAAATTAAATTTTTCAAAAATCTCTTAGAAAATGGAATTTAAAAAATAAATTTAATTTTGTGCCCAACATTTTTGAAGTTCATGCATACACATATGACTAAGGGAAGCCCAGAGATTTTTTTACAGAACTCATGTAGCTTTTGCCAGAAGGATCTAAAGCAGCAGGAGCACTTAGGTTCCTGGATGTGTGGCTATGCACTTTATTTCTGTAAGGCGCTCCTCTTAAGTTTCTGTAAGTTTCTATTATAGACTCCTCCAAGGTGTACATGAGCATTTCTGCCACTTTCTTTTCTTTGGCCTCCTTTTTTAAAATTTATTTGACAGGTAGAGTTATAGACAGTGAGAGAGAGAGAGAGACAGAGAGAAAGGTCTTCCTTCCCTTGGTTCACTCCCCAAATGGCCACTACGGCTGGCGCTGTGCTGATCTGAAGCCAGGAGCTAGGTACTTCTTCCTGGTTTCCCATGCAGGTGCAGGGACCCAAGCACTTGAGCCATCTTCCACTGCCCTCCTGGGCAACAGCAGAGAGCTGGACTGGAAGAGGAGCAACCGAGATTAGAACCCAGTGCCCATATAATAGGGTGCCGGCACCGCAGGTGGAGGATTAACCAACTGAGCCATGGCGCTGGCCCCTGGCCTCCTTTTCAATAACACCACCAGCCAACATAGAGATGTTCTTTTATCTGAGAACTAAATTGATCTTAGTGGCCCTTTTTCCCTCTTCTTGGTGACCATTGCCCTCATTCGGCTCCTGTCTTGGTGCCACGACCATTTATATGAAACCTTGGCCTTTCAACAAATACTGTAACTCATATTTTATAATATTTAAGACCTACTCTATTCTACCTGGAAGACTGACATTTTGAATGCATTCTTTAAAGATCTTGATCTTATTTAGGTGATAATGAAATAATCTGTTGGACTAAAAAGCACTTGTTACTAATTTCTACATTTCACTAAATCCAAAATAAAGATATTACTTTGGAAACTTTGTGACTTTATATATATTATTACTAATATCCTTAACGAGAATTTGAGATAGATATTGTTAAATCTATATTTCAAGGCAAGGAAACTTGAGACTCAAATAAAGAAAATTGTGTAAGATTTGACGTTGTGAAACCTATATATGCCTTTCTTATTAAAAAGATTGTCTCTTTTTATTTCATATAATCTAAGAATAGTGACACCAAATATCTGTGAAACCACCTTAAAATGAACAAAGCAATTCAATTTGGCAACCCTTGAGGCAATCCAGTAAGTCATAAGCCATTTTTGTCACCAGTTCACAGATTATGAAATAGGAACTCAAAGATGTTAAGCAATTTTCCTATAGATTCCAATGCAGGGTTTTGAATTCCTCATTTCATTTTTGTTCTTTTAAACCATGCTGGCAAATAACCTAATCTATGATAAGATGGTTAAAAATGAGCAGGATTTTGACTTACCTTGTGAAAATGCACATCACTAGAAAAGTTTTACAGAACTCTTTTTGTTGTACAATTTCAAATTGTAAGCCTGGGAAGGAAGTAACACATGCAAGTGGATTCTCTGGCTCTTCTGATTTTATTAGGTCTCGGGAAGCTACCTACATGTGGAATGGTAGGAAGTTACAGTGGGTAACTATCAGGAGTTGACTCATCACCAGATGATCAACATTACTTAAGGAATTGACCACTCATGGAATAATTATGAAAACTATCATGGTAACTCATTTCTATGCTGAGAACATAATTACTGATCAATACTCAGATAGAGGGGCAAAGATAGTACTTGCAGAGACCATGCTGTACTGAAAGTGAAACATGCAGTGTTCTGGGTGTTCAATGCAAGCTAGAAAAGGCATTCTTAAGTGGCAGAACTATTTACACCAAAGTCCTGTTTTAAAATAGGCCTGGTGCACTGAAGAAAACGAGTGGAGGCCAGTTTGCTCTGAGGCTATTACTCAAGTTCAAGACTGAGACTGAATTTCATGACAGTGAAATTGGCCAAATGGAATAAAGTTCACAGTATTGAAAAAAAAAGAAAAATGCTTAAGATAAATTTTAAAGACCTTCATTTGGGAATTTATCCAAAGGAAATGAAATCAGCATACGAAAGAGATATCTGTACCCCATATCCCAGATGTCCATCAACTCCTGACTGGGATATGCAATCAGAAATACTACTCAGCCATAAAAAAGAATGAGATCATGTTTTTCGGAGAGTTCAAATCTCATTTTTTTTCCATGAGGCTATTGAAGTGCCTTTGTATGATTTCCAAATTTGAAAATATTTACTATCTTATCCTTTACAAAAAACCTAAAGACCTAAAGTGAAAGGAGACCAGAGATTGGGAATATCAGCAATAAAGGTTGGAAGTGAATAGTGAGCCTTCAAAGAAAAGAAGATTCTGGGGAACTGTGGAGCCAATGAGAGTAGACGCTCACAGAAGAGAAGGAAGGAGACGGTTCAGAAGACAGGCGGAGGAATAGTATCCAGCAGCATAAGTGGCCGAAGGATTCAGTAAGACGCAAGCAGACGTCAATTAGATTTTAATGAATAAATGCAAAGGTTGCTTTTTCAGTGGTATGGCAGGTGCAGAAGTCAAGTTGGACTGGATTGAAGAATGTGTAAATGTAGACATTGCATTTAGACAACTCTCAAGAAATTTCAATTTTCAGAAAGAGAGAGGGGATTTAGTATCAAGAGATGTTTTATGTAAGTTGGGTGAGAATTGAATGTGTCTAAATGAGGATCATAGTGCAGTATTTAGCCTGAAAGTAAATGTAACAAAAAGAGAAAAGTTGTTAGGAAAGGCAAACAGGATGGGATCCAAAAGATTAGCTTCACGCAGAAGCAGTGATAGCTCTTCGTATGCCAGTTAGGAAGGAAGAGGGGTTGTGTACAGGCATGTTTGGGTTTACAGGTTTGGATGCTGGTCTCTACTAAAGAGTTTTAATATGATGGCTTCAAGTATTCTAGTGAAGTAGGAAGAAAGTGAAATACTCATTTGCTGGCAGTGAGGAAGGACAATTTGTGTGTGCATATTGCTGGACAAACCTAGGATTGAGGATTGAGAAGGTTGGAAAAAAATTTTTAAATGAGGGGGTAACAATCTGAGATACATACTAGGGTGGTGGAGAAATGTAGAAACTCCACTTGAGGAAGATGATGCTACAATTATATTGTTTCTAGTCTGTCCAAATATTTAATGTTCTTCTACACTGTGGCTGCTCCAGAGACACTCCAGAGAAAGAACATAGTCATTAGGAGATGAGAAGAGGGAAACGCAAGAAATGGTAGGGAATTAGCAAGAGTGTTGAAATAATCGGCCATATCCACTAAAAGTGGATAAGGAGGAACATAAGCAAAGTAAGAGCTGCTGAAACAAAAGTTTCAGTAAAATTGATAAAGGTCATCATGGAATCAATGAAGAAATAAGCTAGGAGGAGAGAATATCATAGTCAGAGGACAGAATTCTAGAACAGTGATTTTTCAAAGTGGAACATTTTGAGGTAATGACATTGTATAGTGGCAGATCCAGTGGGGGAGGAGGGAAGTATAGTTATCTTAGAATTGTATCTATGAAATATATGAAACCTACTCTGCATATTAATAAAGATAAAATAAAACAAAAAGAATTTTCCATTTAAATGTTTTCCTTTGCTTTCATGAAAATAAAGAAGATAGAGAGAGAGGGAACAACAAATGGAAACCAGAGGATTTTTAAGGCAGTAAAACGACCCTGTATGATACTATAATGGTAGATACATATACATGAGTACACATTTGTCCAAATACATAGAATATAAAATACTAAGGGTGAACCCCAAATTAAACTGTGGACTCTGGGTAATAGTGGTATGTCAATGTACACTCAACAACTGTAATAGAGGTACCACTCCAGTGGGGGAATGTTGCTAACATGGGAGGTTGTATGTATATGGGGACAGAATGTACAAACGCTAAATCTATATATTCCACTCAGTTTTGCTGTAAACCTAAAACTACTCTAAAATTTGAAGCCTATTAGAGAGAAATAGAATAAGAGAAAGTAAGACACTGGCATATTTGTCTTTTTCTAATATTAGCAAAAGTATGAAATAACTTCCACCAGGGCGAAAACCTGGACTTGAAGTTTAAACATCAGTGATATATAGTTTTAAATAATGATAGTACAATGTTATAAATAATACAAAAGATCTGATAAATCACAAGTTTTTTTCATTACTGAGTTTTTATTTATGCTCTTTTTAGTTGAATGAAAATTGCTGCAGTGACTGGTCTCTGTGGAAAGTTTTCCTGGCCTGTCTCTTGGCCTGTGCTATAACCACAGCTATTGGAGTACTCATACTGAGCCTGGTGAATATTAAGGGAAATAATTCCTCCATTGTTATCCAGCTACCCACAAACAGTGGACAGCCCACAGTTATTGTACCTGGAACAACCTCTACTACTTCTCAATCTACAGCAACTACCACTTCAGCTGCACCTACAACCACTGCGACAGCTTCAACCATCACTTCAACTAACTCTACAGGCTCTACTGCTTCCACTCCACCTGCCACCACATCAGCCACCTCTCCCTCTTTAAGTGAAACCACAGCTGCCGCTACTGCAGCAGCATCTACGACCACGGCTACTACCACGCAGTCCTCAGCTGCAACACGCGCAGCCACTTCAACTGACCCTGCAGGCTCCTCTTCTGCTTCTATAACGGGTACAACGGCCACCTCTAGAAAGTGAAATCACAATTGCAACTGTTTCAACAGCATCTGCGACTACTGCTACTTCCATTTAATCTGTAACCACAAGAGCCACTTCTCTCTGAAACAGTGCAGTCACAACTACATGGCCCTGAGGATTCTATTTGAATGACACCAAATACTTCTACAAGTTAAACTTAGCTGACAATTGAAATAATCACCAAAACTACAACCACTACCCCTTCCCCTTACCATACAACTACTGTAGCTTCCACTTAGCTCACAATAACAACAGTAATCATGCTCCTTCAATGTATAATCTTCACCTATTCATCCTGCAACAAAAATGACTCCATTACCCCCTAATCTTAATATGACTATCATCAATCATCAAGTTAACCTTTAGATACCACCTCAAAAATTAACTTACAACTAATCCACACACTGACTTTTCCCCCAGTTGAAACTGTAGCTATCTCATCTATATTTGCTAAGTCTATATCATTGCCAGTCTTATGTTATACCATATCAATTACTGTGATGCCACTAAAAGAAAGATAATTTGGACCATGAATAATGATAAAATTACTACAGTTTTCACAAATACCAACACTTAGGACTTTTATAACCAACAGAAATCTTTTCATTTTTTAAAATGAACTAAACATTTAAACTAAAAAAATCTGCCATTGGTTCTATTATTTAAAACAATGTAATTTTATATAGAGAATCCATTTTTATTTAGAAAATCTTTAAGAAATTTTATATTAATTATATAATAAGATTAGACATTTAGATTTTAATATGGATTGGTTGGTGTTTACAATATTGCATTCCTCTGAACACAAATTATATGCATAAAGGACAGAGATTTTTATATGGGAGATATTTGGATGAATTTATGTACAAAAATATGGAATTTATAATTGTTTCCTCTACAGTAAAATTTGTTTTTTCTCCTATTCCTTAGATTATAATTGCCTTTAAAGTAACATTTCATTCACACTAATATTATTAAAGTACATTTGAATCTGTGTTTTGCAAACTTTTACTTCAGAATAGCTTGAAATTTACAAAACAATGATTGCTGATGTAGGGTAAAGATTTTCCATATATTCCATATGAAGCTTCCCCTATTATTAACATTTTATATTAGTATGAGACTTTTTTAAGATTTATTTTATTTATTTGAAAGGCAGACTTACAGAGAGAGAGGTCTTCCATCCTGGTTCATTCCCCAAGTGGGCACAACTGCCAGAGCCGAGCCAATCTGGAGCCAGGAGCTTTTTCCAGGTCTCCCACATGGGTTCAAGGGCCCAAGGACTTAAGCCTTCTTCTACTGCTTTCCCAGGCCATAGCAGAGAGCTGGATCGGAACAGAGTAGCCAGGACTTGACCCAGCACCCTTATGGGATGCCAGTGCTTCAGATTAGGGCTTTAACACACTATGCCACAGTGTCAGGCCCTAATATGATACCCTTTTCACAATCAATAAACCACATCTAGCTTCCTCTAGTTTTTTAATAGATAATCTGTTTGTTTCTCCTACCTTCCCTTTCTCTAGCAATCAGCGTTCTGTTGAGATGTTTTCCCCCCTGCTTGTTTGTGTGTTTTTAGCTCCTACATAAGAGAGGGAACAAGCAGTATTTGGCTTTTTGTATCTGTCTTATTCCACTTATCAATCTGTATTTTAAAATAAAATAATTTGCTACAGTGTTATAAGTTATTCAACTAAATGGTATTCCTTCAGTCTCAATTGTGTGCTAAAATACTAAACAAGGCACATCAGAAGAAAATAGCCATACAAATTACCAATTGAGTTTACTGATTTAGAGTCTGTTATTTTTAATTCTTAAATGATTCTGACAGGCTTAAATTACAATTGAAGATGCTTCACCTTGCTAAATCAGGATATTCAGATTGGAACTACTATTATACTGTAATCTGTAATTTAAAAGATCTGCAGCTGTTGGTGATGTCCAGGAAGATTGGAGAATCATGGGTTCAAAGGTTATAGTTCAATGACACCAGAATGATAAAAATTATAATTGCAAATCTTGAAAATTAAAATCATACATAAGGCATTTAAGAAAAAAACTTATGCAGGTGGGAGGGAGGTTATGGGGGGGAAAACCACTGTAATCCAAAAGCTGTACTTTGGAAATTTATATTTATTAAATACAAGTTAAAAACAAAACAAAACAAAACAAAACAAAACAAAAACTTATAGGCATAGCTATGAACACAAACTTATTTAACCAGTCATATATAATATTGAAGGGTAATGTTTCACTCACCAATTGGTAAAGAAATATTTTCAACAAAAACTGTGAAATTAAAGTTTCTGTGCAACTTTTAAATGATTTCATCTATTGAATTTGGACCTAAAGAAATACTCACTGTTTAGTTTTACTAGCTGAGTCATTTTAATTCTATTTGCTTGTAGTAATGATTCAGGAAACATTAATTTGGATTTCTAATAATGTATGTTGATCTATTCTTCCTTGCCTGGTATTTTGATTAAGAATATTTTATGAGACATTTAAAACATCACTGCTGAAACCACTCAATTTCTGATTTGAGGTTAACATTTTCAAATTTCTCCACAGCCCCACTAGTCATCAGAATTATAAATGACCTGAAGTTTACCCATACTCATAAATGAATACATGTATAACTTATTATATAAAGAGTGATGATTCCCTTAGTCTGTGACATAATTGGTGCTTAAGAAAAACACATTGAATAAATGAGTAATTTGTAGGTAATTTATCCAGTATCAGATTCATAAGAATAAAACCTCCTTATCACTTATTATTGTAAACATCTAGCATATAGTAAATGGCAACACATATCCTTGAAATGAACGATAATTTTTAAGGAATGATTCTACAAGAAAAGTCTATTTAACCTCTTTAATGGTAGCAGTAATAAAGCATTTTAGCCCATTTTTGTTTAGGTTGAATTCTTTCTTTAACCTTTTTCACAACTTATTTTCTGTCTTTTAATAATGTACTTGATTATTTTGTGACTCCTCAGAGGTTTAAAAAATTTGGAGTTCATAAATTCTCATAGTACACAATTAAAGCTTTGGATCACTGTTGTTCACTGGAAAAGGAGCTACGGCGGTGTCAGTTATGGTAGGAAACAACAGTAATTTAAAATTAACTACCAAATATCAGCCAGGATTATAGGAATATTAATACATTTGGATCATATATTTTCTTCTTTTTTTCTTGTTTTGACAGGCAGAGTGGACAGTGAGAGAGAGAGACAGAGAGAAAGGTCTTCCTTTTGCCGTTGGTTCACCCTCCCAATGTCCGCCACGGCTGGCCGCGCTGCGGCCGGCGCACTGCGCTGATCCAAATCCAGGAGCCAGGTACTTCTCCTGGTCTCCCATGGGGTGCAGGGCCCAAGCACTTGGGCCATCCTCCACTGCACTCCCTGGCCACAGCAGAGAGCTGGCCTGGAAGAGGGACAACCGGGACAGAATCCGGCATCCCGACCGACCGGGACTAGAACCCAGTGTGCCGGCGCTGCTAGGTGGAGGATTAGCCTATTGAGCCGCGGCGCCGGCCCATATATTTTCCATAGTGTAATTTTTACCATATGGTCAATTTTTGACTCATTTTTTGTCTCAATACCCATCCCCCATTTTAGTAAATGTCAAACAACTAAGGAGATTTCTATTACAAACTTCTGCAATTTTCTTAACTTTAATATATTTAATGAACATAATTTAGAAGTTTTCTCCTTATTTAAACTATTTGGAAATGGTTGTTTTGATTTATAATCTTATAATTCCTAAATTGATCTAATAGAAAGGTGCAATGGGTGTTACAGAATGAGAACAGTGTCTTCAGCAAATAGGAGAAAATAACTTATATCTACTTTTAAATCACCTGATAATTTAGAGAAGTTAATCTTATTTGTCATCCTTTATTTAGGTGAATCAATGGTGTTGTTTAAATGATGAACTGGCAGACAATTCACCACTCAAATTAAGGTTATAGTTTATGTTTTACAATCAACTCCATGCAAAGAGCATGATATGTATTCCCTTTAGTTGCATTTAAATAACTGAGTATTTCTGATCAAATAATTTTAGATCTCAAAGTGAAAATAGAAGAGTATTAAATAATTAGGTCCAATTGAAATAGAGTATTTATGCACCATCTGAAAAGTTGGTCCAATGCTTTTTATTCTGTTCAATGAAGATCTATGATTATTAATAAATACTTACATGAGTAACTAAGGAGCAAACCAATAAAGAATATCATGTTGCTTCATAAACAGTTATTGAAATAATTAATCTCAAAGAAGACACTTTAGTCTCCAAAGCAAAGACTGTATTTGTGACTCCCATACAGCCTACCTTCATCAGTGGAAAGATCATCCAGACAAAAGCGTCAACAAGAAAGCCTCGGGGCCAGCGCTGTGGTACAGTGGGTTAAAGCCCTGGCCTGACGTGCCGGCACCCCATATGGGCACTGGTTCGAGACATGGCTGCTGTGGGGAGCAGCCCGGACTGGACTGAGTTACTGGAATTAAGACTTATTCTATGCATCTGCTCTCCCACAATATGGCGCTGGGAGAGAAGTAAACAGCTTCCGCACAGCTGCCTCCAGTTCAACCAATAAACTGTAGGACTTGCTCCTGATTGGAGAGCAGCGTACTCGGCGTGTGGGCAGCCAAGTTGGGACTGGCGGAGGAGGACTATAAAGGAGGAGAGAGACGGCATGCACGGGGGAACATTTAAGGGGAACATATGAGGGAACACCTGTACAGCCCCCGAGAGAACCGGCCGGCGGTGTGCCGCTCCCCTGCGGAAGTGGGGAATGTGGCCAGGGGGAACTGCCCTTCCACGGAGGTGGAAGGGACAGTAGCCAACCCGGGAAGAACCAGCAGCAAACCCGGGGAGGGCCGAGCAGACGAAAGAACAGCGCAGGGTCCTGTGTCGTTCCTCCACGAAGATGGGGAGCGACAGCTGCTACACTTCCAATCCAGCTTCTGCTATGGCCTGGGAAAGAAGTAGAAGATGGCCTAAGTCATGGGCCCCTGCACCCACATGCGAGACCTGGAGGAGGTTCCTGGCTCCTGGCTTCAGGTCGGCATAGCTCTGGCCTTTGCGGCCAATTGGGGAGTGAACCATCAGATGGAAGACCTCTCTCTCTCTCTCTCTCTTTGCCTCTCCTCTTTCTGTGTAACTCTGACTTTCAAATAAATAAATAAGTCTTTTAAGAAAAAAGAAAGCCTCAAAGTTGAATATATAATAGACCAAATGGACCTAAAGGATATTTAGAGAACATTACATCTAATAGCTGTAATATACACAGTCTTTGCATCTATCTCTGGGATAGATCCTGTATATAAGGTCACAAAACAAATATTTATAATTTAAAAAGTAGTAACCATATTAGGAATCTTTTTGACCACAATGGAATGAAACTTGAAATCGACAAAAAAATTAACTGTAAAAATTATACAAATATATTGACAAGAATAGCAAGATCCTGAGATAAAATTGATCATTGAAGAAATCAAAAGGGAAATTTAAAAATTCCTTGAAATACAGAGAAAAGTAAACACAATATGCCAACCTTATGGATACAGAGGTGAGTTGAGAACAATAAGCACATACATTAAAAAATAGAAAGATATCAAATAAACAACCTAACTATGCATCT